TTTTTCTATAATGTTGTTGTAGCGCAATTGGCATGTGCTGATGTGTACAGAGGAGAGAGAGAGTAGACGGATAGAGAGAGATTTCTTTTGGAATCAGGTCATTCTGTTGGGTATGTCTCCCCAGTGTTGCCGTAGAGCACTTGCTATAACAAAGTATACAATATTGTTGCTGTAACGTGATGTGATGCTACTGTTGCTGCTGTGTGACGTATTGATGAGTGTAATGCATTTGTTAGCCCACCCACCCAAAATCTCCACCAGCCATCACTGCATGACTTTGCCCTGAATGTGAAGTTGGTGATTTATTTCAAATTAATTGATTTTAACAAGAGCTAGTTAGTGGCCTGCAAATTGATGTAACCCCCCCCCCATCATTTCAATTTACTCAGACTGGTTTTCCTGAGACTTCAGAATATCAGCTTATGTGATATCATGAAACAGGAACATGGACTTTTTAAGGCCACTTTTTAATTACCTTGGTTCCACAGAGAGTGTCTTCAACCAGACACTCTCCATGTTCTAATTAAATCATTGTGCAGGTGTTCAAAGCACGATATGCCTCTCAGCTGGAGCAACTGCGCCATCAGAACTAAAGCGAGACCTATTATCTATACTGTACCTTCCTCTGAAAGTCTCAGTAGATAATCGCTTATGTGAAATTTAAGCATTCATGAGGAGTGTGAGATACTGTGTCTCGAGGGCTGAACCTCGATAAAGTTCAAATCACACTTGGATTCAAGACGCCTGTTTCAGCTATGACTTTAGGTATTCACATTGTTTAATAAATCATCAAAATATACTACTGGTAATAAAATGCTTCATACAAAATTCCTACTTGGGGATGATGGTGCCACTTCAACAGAATAAGCTGAATAAATAATTATTTTATTTCACCAAGATGAAATATTGCTTTCACTTCTGGAGGGGAGGAATGTAAAACTTTCCGTCTCTTTACTCCAATTTATGGGTCCATTCGTCATTAAACAATTACATAGGCAAAAAATTCAATTTCCCTGCTCTCATTTCTTCTTTCATGACTGTGTTTCCCAGAAAGGGCAAAAGCATAATTACAGAATGCAGCAACACGCTAACAAAGAAATATTGACTGCTGGCTTACAGGAGAACATTTGGTGTGAATTGTGAACGGTTTTTGTTGCTAATAATAATTTTCTCCTCCATTATCCCGGAGATGTTTGTCACCACAGCCTTGCAGTGTGAGAGATAAAGAAGGGACTACCTCTTTTTCAATCCCATCAATCTACCTTTGTTTTGTGGGCAAAGACAAAAGAAGCTGTCTTAACTTTGCACATCAACAATGATGCGACGTGCAGGAGGCAGTGCATGCAGATACCTTTTAACGTGTGCCAAAGAAGAGCAGCGTTGCGTATCGTCTTTCACCAGAAGCAGTTGTTTCATTTTATGATAGAGAATGCTTGAATGTGTGCAGGAAGATGCATAGCAGCACATGCATGTCTTCCTCTTTTGCAGCCAGCCACAATTTTTGGACGTCGGGTTGGAACTGGAGTCGGCTCACTTGGGAGCTCATTTGGCAGCCCGGCCTGTCACTGGGGAGCGTATGAAAGCTAAACCTAATGAAAGCACACACAGCCAAAACCTGCCGGCTAACATCTGCCCCAGACTTCAGCTACAACAAGCTCCACTTTCTCGTCAAAGCGAAACCACACAGTTCCCGTTTGCCAGACTTTCTTTTTCTCGCTTGAGTTGCAGGTCTATATGATCTTTTATGCGTAACATGGGCTTGGTGGCCCGTGGGGCTTGGAAAACGTGGTGTGTAATTTCAAAACAACAGGGATCTCTGTGAGCAAATGTGGACTTTTTTTATTTATTTCTGGGAGTTGTTTTGCCGATATGTGTATTTACATAGACTACAGAGATAAACATAAGCTCTCCTCATCCATAGCTGACAACTCTTTATTTCTTTTTATGAAACAGCTTATTCATTCATTCATTCATTGACAGCCAATTTATGTTTGTGTGGTGTGTGTGTGGGGTTGTGCACTTTGTTTGTTTTGTATCCTTAGAGCATCTTAAAGGATTCTTTTGAGGTACTGAAGAAAGCTTCTCTGAGTAATATGCTGTGTGTCTGCTAGTGGTGGGGCTCTTCGTTTACTCCATCTTTCCACCACGTTACTCTAGAGTCAAATATCTGTGGCGCACAAAATTTGGATCAGACATTTATATTTTTGGTCCATGACATAGCCATATCTCAGCCAACTGTGGACGAAGTTTCAGCACTATATGATTTTGGGTGTGTGTTTTCAGTGGCTGAATTTCTTCATTTAACTATTTGTCACCACATTGCTACATGCAGTCCTGACAAGGGAGGAGAGTGAGGGACAGTTGGCTGAAATATGGCTATATGTCATGGGCCATAAGTGGCTTCCACCTCTGGACTGTACTTCATTGCTGCATTTGGACCAAATGTAAGTAGGCTGTGTGGGCCATCATTCGGCCAGAGCAATTTTGCTATGTGGACTAGACTCTTTGTCTTGTTCTCTTCTTCTTAGTTGAATTTCAAATTAATATTGACGTGTATGCTTTTAGTTTTTGTGGTATTTAGTTAAAGAAATATAAAGATATAACAGGTTCCCAAACTAAGGGCTGTTTTGACTCTAAACAACTTGCTTTATTGACTAACAATTATTCATGGGACATACAAAGGTTTTGAAGTGTCTGACCTTTCAGAAACTGCATGTCATTTTCAATTATAATTTTAATGACTGAAGTATAAATGACTTGATTGATCGAGAAGGGTGATAGTGATAGTGTCAGTCATCAAAATTTTTCATGTGCAGCTTGAGCCAAGAACAGTTCTATTTTAATAGAAACTGCATTAGTCATTTTAGGTTGAGAGACTCCCATCTGTTTTGCAAAATTATCCTCGCTAATTAGTCTGAAAATAAGAGTGGTCAGATCAGTCAATAACTGATAAGAGGGGGACAAACAGCCACACAGCTCTAACAGCTACTCAGATGCATCCAAATGCACCAGCCCAATCAAAATGCAGTCAATTATTATAAAGAGGTCTGCATAACACAAAATGATTATTCTGAATATCACCATGGAAACACGACGCACAGACTCAAAAAACAGATTTGTATACACCTCAGTACCCGGAATAATGTCAGTCTATTCCAGCCATCAGATTTCCTTTGAATCCTATATCTGGGTTACTGTAGAAACATGTTGGCAATGTAACCATTACTGAAATTACTTAACTTTGGTAAGAGTGCATGGAAACATACATTCCTATCATACAAACATTACCATCATTTAAAGTAGACCTATTATGCTCTTTTTCATTCTTAGTCTGACACTCCACTAAAGTAGCGTTGCATGATTCAGCCTTCAAAAACATACTTATTTATCTTACACTAGCACTTCATGCAGCCCCCCTCAGTTCATCCTCTGTCCCAAACAAGCCATCTCTCTAAGCATACTTTCTTCTAATTGGCCAACTTTGCAGAAGTCTACCTAGTGGCTGCACCCAGTACTTGTGAACACCGTTTTGCTCTCAAAGGCATGACAGCTAGAGTACCGTAGCTTGGACAATAAAAGATATGGGGCACTGAATTTGTGAATTTACTGTTTCTAGGGAATGTTTTATAACTTTATTCACTGATTTTGGTGAAACTGGATCATATTTTATGGAGAAAATATGTTTTGGTTTTCACTCTGATGTCCTCCAGCTGCTCTGCCTCAACCTTTTTGTTTTCTGACATATTGCTTTACTGTTGTTGCTTTATTGTTGTTAGCAGTTAGCTACTTTAACCGCTAACTGTAGCTTCTGATGATGGAAACCTTTGGAGCAGTCTGAATTCTTGGCTTTTTCCTCACAGAGATTAATTTTACATACGTTTGACATTGTAACATTGTATACTGTATATGACAGAAACTAAGGAAGAGCATCATAGGGCCCCTTTAATATGAAAGGCTGAAATTTTGATCTCTTAAGAAGAAAAAGTACCATCATAGGGGGCAGCATATTTCCTTTAGTGCTATTTGGGACACACACTGTACCCTATGTATATGAGACTACAAGTAGAGAAAAGTGAGGTTGCACTTGTACTTGTAGGGGCCTCATTTGTACAGGAATGCAAAGTCAGTCTCACAGGCTCAAGGAAAACATTTTTCATGTAATTGACTAAACAAACGCTGTGGACGTGGGCATTGCTGACCTACAAAGTTAACCTTGTTTCTTTTGTAATTTTGGAGGAGCTGTAGCATTTGGTGTTCTGATTTCTGAAGCCGCCCAGGGGACTGCAGACTCAGACACCAAAAAAACTCTGTGGCTCTTAATGAGACTGCACAAATTAGGGGGACAGCACAAGAGATATGCTTTGGAAAATAAGAATTTCAAAAAGCAGCCAATGATTTCTGGTGTGTCAGACAAGTCCGCTGTTAATGTCAACAGAAAGCAGTTACTGTGAATCATCACTACAGTCCATGTATGTATCAATAACACATCTTTGGATCATAATGTGTTTATCAGCACTGGAAGCAAAGCAGTTAATAAACTGCAGTTTAAAATAAGAAATGTTTTCTTCAGATTTTTTCCCAAATTTAACAATGCCATGACCAGCACCTAACTTTTGTTGTGCATTCACCAGACAACAAACTGGTGAGTATTATGAGAGTAATTCACTTAGATATGTTGGTAGCAATTCACAATTTGTAAATATGGTATAGGTGAGTGGTTCACCAAAGTTTGTGAGAAGTCATTATTGATTGACGTGCCAAAGCATACATCAAAACAATTTAGTGGTTTTTGGGTAACAATTGATCTTTTGAAGAACTGTAGCATAATATGCTGTTTTACTGCATTTTTATAAACTTTTATGTCGCACCAAATGGTGGATACTTCCCTACGCAAATGAGTGTTTCTGTAAGGATTAAACTTCGTGAATAATGTGCAAATTCCTTATTTCTTTGTTGCAACTTTAACAGAAGATTGTGAAGTGAGGCTCAAGAGAAGGAGATTTCATCATGTATTAGCCATTTAGTCAGACTCATTTGTACAAATACATCTTCATTTATTTCACGTACATTTTTTTTTACTTTTACTTTGAAGTTTTCACAATCTAAATGATTCAACAACAAAATGAGGAACTACCACAACAAAGTCCAAATTTCCTACTGGGGAAAATTAAGCAAATGTCACTGTAGTAAAATTGACACATGTATTTTTGCCAACCAGCAAAGGTACAGTTAAAGTAATAAAAAGACACAAAAATAGGACAAAAAGGTGGTTCATGTAGGTACTTTGACCAGGGTCATCTTCATGATGATCTAAGTGTTATGATAGATCCTGAACAGTGTTTAAGGACTGATTTTTGTAAAATGTTCAACATGTTTCATAAATAAAACATTTTTTTCTTCATTTTTATTGATAAATAATATATATTAAATCATACCTGGGAGTCAATTTGGGGAGCAGGGACAGATAATCACCCATAGGAGCCCTTCCTGAATCCATGGAAACTTCAAAAGTCTGAAGAATATTCTTGCTGAACATATGGGGTATATCAATTTTGGCTAATGCATCCCATGAATATTGCTATGAATAGTTCTTTTGAATGAATGTGCACATACATGTACATAACGATGCATTAGGTACACATATGCAAATTATTGAACATAGGAAATGATGGTCTGTTTCATTGATTTCTTCAGTGAATAAGCATGGCGCAAGACTAAACAAAGTAGGTTAATAGCTTAGATACAAATTTGTACTGTACATGGTTCAGCTGAGTCTGTAGATCCAACCCAAAACTACAATGTTCCTTTTGGGCATATAAATTTCAAAAAGCTGATAGATGACACCTGTTCCCATCAGGTCCCCAACAACAGTTAGGGTCAGGGTTAGCAACAGTTTTCACTCCTCATCCACACTGAAGTTGCCCGCTGGCAAGAGAATGTCCTACTACGATTTTTAGTATTTCAAACATAGTATCCAAGCATTATGTCAAGTTCCAGTGATTTAAGGTACTGCTCATCTTGTTATGATGCCCCAAACATTTTCACTACCATTCTCCCTGCTGCAGTGGGAAGTTCAGTAGTCCAATTTTCAAAAAAATACATTGTACTTTGGGCATTTTTACAATCCAGAATCTTGGATCTATTAATGAAGTCACATCATTTTCATGTTAAAACGACGAGGACCAGCTTGTCCCTCTGCCGAGTCAACGTTAGTGCCATTAGACTTTGACCGAGGCACATATTCAACATCTATGTTGTTTTTATGTTTTCCTTTTCCTCTGCTCCAAACGAAAAGGAGCAGGAAACAAAACAAGACCACTCCCAGGAACGTAAAACAACCCATAGCTGTTGACACTAAAATAGTCTTTAGGTCTAAGCCGAGGGTCACACCAGCCGTTCCATTGGCAGTGGTATTGCTGGGATCTGTGTAGTACTGGGTCCTGTTGGCGTACAGCGATCCCAAACTTTTCACCGCCAGAGAAGTCATCAGGGTGTCATTCCCAGCAGTGTTGGAGGCAAGGCAAAGGTACACTCCGCTGTCTTGTACCTCCGCTGACTTGATCTCCAGTGTTCCATTGATGTGGACGGTTACTCTACCGTGGCTCCTACTTGTCAAAACTCGTCGACGTGGGGACAACCAGGACACAACGGGCCTTGGTGTCCCCTCAGCACTGCAGCGCAGCATTGCTTGCTGGCCCTCATCCACAGTGATCGTTTGAGTTTTATTCTCCCGAATTTTTGGCTTGGTACATGTCACATAATAAGACAGGAGAGTCTCTTTAAATTCCTTAAAAGGCCTTCCACGAATACCTTCAGGTGTGCTGCATTCTGGTTGTGAATCCCCGAAGAAGATGGAATGCCTTTTCTGTAGGATCCACATGAGACGACAGTCGCACACCAGGGGGTTGCTGTCAATAAGAAGAACCTCCAGAGCTTCAGGAGACTGAAAAACACCCTTCTCCAGTGTATCCAGTCGGTTGTGAGAGACATTGAGGACTTTGAGCCCCCGCAGGCCCTGAAAGGCATACGGTTCAATGGTGGTTAGCTGAGCTCCAACGAGATGGAGCTCTTTAAGCCGAACCAGTTCCATCATCATCCCCCCTTCAATGTGCCTGATGCGGTTGTAAGACAAGTTGAGATGTGTCAGGTAGGGCAGATGCTTTAGGGCTTGATAAGGGAAGGAGGACAAGTTGGTGTTGGTTATGAACAGAGTGGTCAGGTTGAGGCCATGCAGGGTATTGGCTGGCACATGGTCTAGTGAAGGCCAATTATCAATTTCTAAATGCTGCAGCCGGAACAGCTTTTTGAAGGAGTAAGGATGCAAAGTGCTGATGCTGAGGTATCGTAGATGGAGGCTGACCAGGTTGTGCAGGTGGGAAAGGGCCTCAGTGGGTACAACTGTAAGGTTGCACCTTTCTAAGGTTAGAATCTCCAGACTTAAAAGTCCACTAAATGCACGGTGAGAAATGTAAACCAGATCATTGTCACCCACTTCCAAAAATTTAAGATTGTGCAGGTCCTGGAACATGTAATCCAGGAGGATGACGATCTTGTTGTCACTTATATCCAGTCGGGTAAGATTTGTTAAGCCTGTGAAGACGCCCAGAGGAATGAGTTTGATACGATTGCTCTTGAGACTGAGTGAATGCATGTTAAACAGGGCGTTGAAAGCTCCAGGCTCAACATAACTGATAATATTTCCACTGAGGTCAAGTTCCTCAAGTCCAGGAAAGGCAATAAAGTCGTCAGGGTTGATCATTGTCAGCTTGTTCTTACTCAGGTCCAGGATCCTGGTCTCAGTTGGGACGCCATCTGGGATGCTGGGCATGCGCTTGCGGTGACAGACAACTGCCTTGCTCTGCGCCGAACACTCGCAGCGCGAGGGACATCCCAGGGTAGAACCCACAAAGACAGCCACAAGGGCCAGTCCCAGGAATGGTTGCCAGCATGAGACAACCGTGTGCAGCATGACTTTGCTCATACAGTCGACCATTCTGTCACGGTTCTGCAAGACAGAGAGGGAAAGAACAAAGAGAGAAGGGAAGATATTAGTTAGTCACTCTGTCACACTGTGTTCCTGTAGAATTAATTAATTAAAAACAATAAAGCACTGGGTCTGAAAAATAGCCTCAGATGCCTTTATTTGTATTGCAGATTGGATGGACCTCGCTGCACAAAAATGTCTCATTCACACCATTCTGTTTTCATCTAGTTACTTATTGAAATACAAGCAAGTTGAACTGCTGGGCTCCAAATACTTTGAATTTAAGAATTTCTCTCTCTGTCTTTCTCTCTCCCAGACACAGTGATGGTTTAAATTCTTCCCTGTTGGCAGTTAAATTGATTTACACCCAAAGCAACTATTAAATTAATAAAAAAATGTGCAGCTTTTGCAGCACATTGTATCACTCCACTTTCTGTGTTTTAACAATTTCACAAAACTTGTTTTCCTTTAGAAGAGTTTTGATTTTTCTAAGCCAAAAAAACAGATGGGGATGACTTCTGTTCTGAGCAAACATGCTGCATCTCCACTCTGGTAGAATGAAAGAAATCAATCATACAAAAAATGCATGACACTATATGCAGTTCATGGATAAGTGTGACAAAACCCAATCAACAAGCAAAAAATGTTGGAGGGAATCATTCAGTGTTGGGAGAATATTATGATAGTAATTACAAGTATTACCACAAAGGTCTCAAAAGCCAATAAACAAAGGTTTCACATTTAATATTTTTAAACCGATTTAGAAATTAATTAAAACAGTATGGAAACAAATGCTGGATGTATTTCCAGTTATTCTGAGAACCATCTCCACTCAAATAAACCATTGTCATGCCAGTGTTTTACATGCATTTCTGTCTGTGTTTCTAAGTGCAGTACACAGACACAGTGTGAATCATAAACTTGATCAACCAGTCTGTTTAAGCAGAGTTTAGAAATCACCATTATACAGTGGAAAAAGAATATTCTTATTTCTACTTTCTACACTTGTTGTCAAAAACATGTAATTGTCCCATTTCATTTTAGGTGATCCTTTAAGATGTGTAAATATTACAATTAAAGAAATATCTGGTATTTTTGTACATTTGACTTAAACAAGTAACAAATTAAAGGAAAAACGAAGGAATAAATGTAGTAGCATGACAAATGCAGATGTTTTCATACAGGACACGTGGGGTCATTAAATGGTTTGATTAGAATGAAAATGATATGAATCAATTGAGAGAATGGAGAGGGTTTCAGAGACTTGGATGTTTGTGTTGATTTTTCCTTTAAATTGTTACCCATCTGTAAGTTTTCATACAGCCTCTGCAAAAAAAAAAAAACCTGATCCTCCATGAATCTATTTGTTATGCTGGTTTTTCATATATATCACATAAGTACATGAAGATGAGCAGATATGACCCAAATGCACTGCTTGCCACAAACAGACTGGGTGATATGTTGCAAAGATCGCAAACCATCCCTGCCTTATTTGGTGTGTCATGGGCTGTGCTAAATTTAAACCATGAGAGGAATAATCTGAATTTATCCCCAGGCTTAATATGCGAACAGATTATGGTGCGAAGATAATGTGATGGAGCACCCATCTAAAGAAAAACATTATGAAAACCTAAGAAATCAATTCAAATAGCCAGAATAAGGAAAATCTGAAGCTAGAAGTGCCAAGGACCAAGCACTGTGCCTATGTGTCAGCTCCAAGTGACACAGTTAAAAACATTGATGTGTCCCTTTTTTGTGTCTTTACTTTCCCTTGCCTCCAGTTCACTATAAAGCTTTATTGCTACAGCTAGTGGGCACCATATGGCTAGCTCTGCATTGCTGCTGACTTGAAAAACATCACCAAATGTGCACTGGCCTGTTTAAGTGTTCAACAGCTTATTTGAAATGTAAAGCTAAATGCACTTGCATTAAAAGCAGTACCTTCATGCTAACATGCTAATTGCCTGAGCCGGTCTTCACAAAACTCCTCTGTTATTCTCTTTGGTAATTGGTGTCATTTTATGATCATTTGTTTTGCTCTGTTTTAATATATTCATGCATTACATTTTGAAGGGCTTGTTAATTTTTTTTTAATATCAAATATCAAAAACTGTAAAGTACCAAATCTGGAAACTTATTTGTAGTCTCATAAGACAATATTTCATTAATAATTTTGTTGATTTTTGTTTTTAATTTAGCTGTGTAGTTCCTATACAGCTGTTTCTTTTAACCTAAAATTAAACACACTTTATGTGCAGTCAGGTATTAAAAAATATTGCTTCTGATAGTAAATAGGTCAGTAAAATACTTTGATTAACACAGTGTTTCATCACACGTACACATGGCTAACATGATTGTGACAAACAGACACACATACATGCACACACATCTCTATACAGGAGATTGTCATAGTGTCCTTGTGTTTCTGCAGATTCTTCCCACTTAATAACCACCTTATGCACACACACACTGGCCACATGAATTGCAGCACCATATGATTCAATGATTTACCAAGAGGGTGTCTAATCAGTATAATGATTGGATGTCTTTGTAACAGTGTGTAATCAGAGTAAGAGTGAGCCTGTGATGTGACCCTCTCACCTGGGCGCTGCTCAATAAGAGAACCATAATGCAAGTGCATCATCAGCAGCACCTGCTGAAGTGTGTCCTGTGCACAGAATTAGGCAGAGGCCCTGGGGCAACATCCGCAAATAAAATCCTAACTATCTGCTCACTTACTGATTGTTTTCTGCTTGTGCCCTCCAAAAGAAAAGACAAAATACAGGATGGTATTGGAGCTATAATATTCAGAAATAATAGGATTTTTTTTTTTATTTTACCTTGGTTTTCTGACCTTGAAGTAAACATTATTTTAGCAGTGTAGCTTGCATTTTTGTAAACATTTTTGTTTGACAAGGTGACTTTAGAGTAAGAGTATGGTAGCAGGAAGAATATATTCTACTACCTAAAACAGCAGCGGTAGCCTTTTTCTTTTGATAGTTTTTCAGAATTAATGACCACCGAATTTTTTTCTAGATTCAGCGTTTGGATGTTCACCAATCACATAGTTGAAGCAAAGACAACCAGTATCTCTACAAAAAATGATCCCAGTAGACCACAATACTGTATATTGCAGCCACAATATAAACTGTCTCACACACAACTCAGTTAATACATTTATTCTTGAAAACTTTCAGTGACATTCAGTAACAGTCCTGTGATGGCAGAAATCCCGCAGTGCACTATGAGATAAGACTGCGCAGTGAAGGTGTTTCTATAATGTGGCCCCTGACCCACATTAGTGCAGGGTTGGATCCTGAGAGGGGGAGGATAACAGCTAATGGTGTCTGACTCAGCATAAATGTGTGAACAGCCATTTCGCAGCAGTGCTGAGGTCGCCTGCGCAATGCCATCATCCCAAGCATATGTATACAAGTGGCCAAATGTGAATCTCAAACTTACACAACACTTCAGACGATTAAATTATGAATTGCTCCCCCAATATGATAAATATGAGAACATATTTGTCTTGGCTTATTTCTAATACGCATACAGTCTTTCTATTCCCATCACAAACTAATCTCCATATGAATCGCAGAAAGCATGCAGGGCTCTTCCATCCCATGATGCTGCTCTTTACTTTTCAACACAGCCCGGGGCTAACTAGTAAGAGGATGAGTAGAGATGACGTCTGTCTCTACCAGAGTAGCAAAACACAGCGCTGCATGCACTAACATGTCTTCCTCAAGTCTTTGAAATGCTTTTCTTGCAAAAAAGGGAAAAAAGACATATTACATCATCTTTAGTCCCTCTCTTGTAGCTAATATAACTGCATGTAGCTTGACTATGTACATCCTTTTCCTGACTAATGGAGCTTTGACCTCTGCACCCTTGACTTAGTATCCAGGTGGGTGAACACTACATATCAGACACAGATCCTGAGGTGAGAGTGGAGCTACTGTATACAGGAGATTGCAATCGCTCCCTTGGCAACTGATATCTTCCCTGGATGATCACTAAATTTTCTTTCTGCGTCTCTTTCACACAACCTCACTATGACTCTCATTTTGCCCACACCTTTTAACTTCCTGTGTGTGTACCTTCCATAATTGATTTGTACTTTTTTGTGTAACACATTGTTTAGAAAATAATTCATTATTATTGCTTATCGTTGCTTTACGTGGATGTATTCAGCCTGACTGTGTGTGGAATGATGTATGAGTTTAACACTAAAAGGTTTTCACATTTATCTGCAAAAAGTGGAAAAGAAGATGTAATTTTAAGAACTTTTTAACAAGGAAAAAACATTCTAAGACACAAACTATTGTTCATAGTAGAGTATTGCTATGTGTTTAAATTAAGTTAAGGTTTAGTGGGATAATTGTGTTGGTAATTTCGACAACTTTATACATTTTGTGCAATCATTTTGTGACAATGGAGTCTATAAATAATGACCGTATATGAAAAAGTTCTGGCATGTGAAACTTGTTTAATATACAGTGTGAGGCCCGACGCTTAATATTCATTGATTCTCTTTCATGGGAAACATCAACAACAAGGATCTCAAGTCTGAGTTCATGTTCTGTGGCATCCTTTTGACTGTTTACATTTGAACAGTATTCATGTGTTAATAACAGCAGAATAACAGCAATACATGTATATGTAAATATATGAAATACAGCACATACAGAATACAGCTGTGATGTTAAGCGTATAACCTTCTCTGAGTTACAGTAGCCAGAAGCTCCACAGAAACATGGCAGTTAATTTTGTTTTAATTGGAGCAAATTGAATCAAGCAATCATGGGTCAGTTTGCTCATCACTGTGTGTCCCCCTGATGGGCAGAGTGGACACCCACTATCCATGTTTGATTTCAAATTATTTACCAACTAATTAGCCCAACGACTCCAATATGGAGTAAATATAATTATGCAAAATTATAAATTAAATCACTTAATGGTAAACCTCTGAGGTCAGCTTGTTAGACTGCAACATGATCTTGGCAAGTTTAAGGTCTGAC